AAATCAGTTATTATTATTATTAATTAAACATAATTGCGGCAACTTTTTGATAAGCATCCTTATAACATCATGCACGGAATAAAAATAGCTTTACTTTGACATATAAATGATCAAAACCTTTTATGAGCGTAATGTCGTCACCAAAATCACTTATTATTATTATTATTTAAACGTAGTTGCTGCAGAACTTTTTGATAGGTACCCTGTTCAAAGTGTATTCTCCTATTCATAAATATACGTAAAAATTAGGTTTTGATGACTTATAGATTATGATAAATGATTGTTTTAAATAAAAAAAAAAATATTAGGATTAGGTTAGGTTATTAAGATTTGGTTTGTCGAGAAAATATCGTAAAATTTACAAAGGTTAGTACCGTATGCTTGAAAAAAAAACAGCGTCAGCGATGGCTATAAAATGAAGATTGCTATCATTTATATGTAAAATTACACCTATGGGGAATGTTATCGATGTTCATTTCTAAGCCAACTAGACACCGTTTATTTCAATCATACGGTATTTACGGCATTGCATTATATGGTTAGTATTCTAGGGTTAAAAACACAAATTTTTGATCAATAAAGTGCCACTACAACCTCTTTTAAACAAAACTCCCTAGCTATTTCATTAACCCCCAATATTGATATTAAATTAAACTAAAATCCTCCCTCCCACCACCAAAAAACTCTCTCCCAAATTAAGCATCTCTAACCATCCCCTTAGCTCCCCATTAGCCTCGCCAATGATCTCGCAAACGTCAACGCAGCATCACCGGCAACAACCCAAATCCGAATTAAATTATCAAGCCACAAGCTCCGCCTCCCTCCCCCTTCAATTACCATCCCCCTGCCACACCCTGCGCGCGCATCTCCCCATGGGGGCGTGCCCGCACTAATTGCGCCGCGCCAAATTGTCCGCAACCTGTTTGTTTTAAATTTATTGCGCGTAATATCGCGCCGTTTACGGCACTAAACTGGTTTTTTTTCGACGCGGGGCGGCGCTTGTAGGCCATATCGAACAGGACACTCCCTCGGGTAGGCGGGGCTTGAATCGACCTATGGAACCAGGCGACTCCGCCTGTTTTTTACGGATTTATCCCCTCCAAGCGTCGGGATTTTCGTTGTTCGCGGCAGGGAATCTTATTAGTCGTTGAGTACCGTACGAAAGGTGTTGATCTGCGTTAAAAAAAACGTTTTTTTTCGTGGATCTAGAGGTTTATAGTGATGTTAGTGCGTTTAGTGATGACGTCGCGTCGCTGTTTTTGAGTACGGGGGTTGTTTAAGAGAAACATGATGCCTCTGGCACCTACACCGGTGATTTCCGTACCCTCCAAACCCAAAATCGGGTTCTCAATTGACTCTATCGTGGGAGGACAAACCAGTGCGAGTCCCCAACACTCTCCAGTGCATTTTTCGGAAAGTTCAGCACCGATCTCACCCTCCAGCGATGTGGAGCACAAAATAAACTCAAGTCCCAAGCAATACTCACCAACCGTTTCACCGAAACCACCCATTATGGTCCCGGGGATACCCGCGCATACCCTGATACGACCTAATCCAACATATGATCCGAATTTGGTGGGTAAAAATGGGTTTTTGCAGCCGGAGTTGATGCATAATCACGGAGGGCAGCATCCGTTTGCTCTAGCGGCTCATTTCCAGGGTGCCGCTCTGGCGGCGGCTTTGAGCCAGGGCCAGCACGGGTTCCCGGGACAGCCGGGACATATGGCAACGCCGACGCCGCCTAGGGATAGTTATCCGTTGTATCCGTGGCTGTTATCCAGGCACGGGAGGATATTTCCGCATAGGTTTCCCGGAGGTGAGTACAGAATCTTTGTTTTCTTAGTTTAACTTCTTTATAACCGGGAAATTAGTGATATAAATATACAACAATTAAAATTAATAGAATATCCTAGCAACAGCTTGCTGAAAGCAGTTGTATTCATAAAGAAGTAGCTTAAAAACAATAAACTTTTCGGTTCTAACCACAATTTCTCTTGGCGGATGATAATCAAACACTAAAATGACATTTCTCGCAAATTCTGAAGTATAATTAGTCTCAAAAGTTAAAGATTTGTTTATTTTTTTCCACTAATTGAAAATTACTACCACAAATGTTCACGTTCCGAATGCCCACATTAAAATTAGAGAAACAAACTTCCACACTTATTGAAACCACTAATTTATTTCACTAATTTCGAGGCAGTGAATGAGGCCTTAAGCTGGACTAGCGAAAAAACGGCGTCTAGTTGGCTTGGAAGTAAACATCGATGACATTCCCCATATAATTTTGCACATAAAATGACAGCGATCTTCATTTCATAGTCATCGCTAACGCCGTTTTTTGGGTCATATTGTATTTGGATAATAAATATTTATTAGTGATGTCATAATCTTCAAGTTATAAGTACATATTTTCTTAAGTTTTTAATCTTTTTGAACAAATTTTGCATTGTTTCTTCGATACTTTTGTGAAGGATCTCTAAATATGATATGATAATACTGACACAAATTAACTGACACAAATTTATAACTAGGTAGTTGTTAAAATTGAACTAATTTGGCAGCTGGTGTTGAAGTAACCGTCAGTTATATATCATAGCCACCTAGATTTTATCAAATAATAAAGATTTACAAACACTAAATCATAAAAATGAAAATATCTAGGAAAATCTTTGTTTGAGGGGTAGGCAACTTTAATAGTATTTTGAAGAAACATGAATTTCCCATTGAATATCGGAATAATATACTGAGTGTTCCATTTAAAATAAAAGATTAATTTGCTTTTAGAGGCGACCAATGTTCAGTATTAAATTTGTCTCACCCTGTATAACTTTCTTGGTCAAATTTTAATTTGATCTAAAGTACAATGGTTACTTTAACTACACATTAGGCTATACCGGGTAAATTCCAATTTAGGTAGCTTTTATTGAAATTTAAAAATTGTTCTTCATTTTTAGAAAATGACAAAAATTTCAAAAACCTTACATTTTAGTCATATACTTCTTTAATAAAACTCACCTTTATTTTTTACTTGAAATTCGAAAATCAATTAATATATAGGATGTTCCATTAAAAAAAACACAACTTTGATGTGTAACTTTTTTTGAGGACATCCTGTAGAACTCTCTATATGTTTAAAAGATGATCTAAATTAACCTATATATGCTCACAAAATTTCATTTTTTACTCCCAGCGCGCGTAAAGAAATTTATCTTCAAAATATTCTTATTTATTTGAAAACTTTTTAAAAATTATAATTTTAAAGTTTTTTTTTGTTTATTTTAATCAAAATCTACATTAATTTAGGTTTCGCTACAAAAAACACTCTTTTTTTATTAATTATAACCAATTTTTGTAACTTTAAAACATATTTATCACAGCAAAATCACATTAAAGAAAAATCGTTGTTCATAATTTTAGAATTTATGAGACGCATTTTCTTGATAGCTCATAAAACTTAATTACATTGAATAAAAACAATGATACTAATCTAACAGTGGTTGTTTTACAATAACATTATTTAAATAGGTGTTTATTTATTGCAAACCAATGAATAATTTAGATTTTATCAATCTGTTAAAAGTGTTAATTTTAAATTTTATTACACTGAAGTAGAAAAAATATATAATTTGTAGCTTTAAATTAGCATAATGATTATTGCTTAACAGATTTTATTATTAAAAATATAAATAATGTAAAATACTATTGATTACCTTGTTTAAATAAAAATATTTCAGTTTTAAATAAATAAATATTTTTTTTAAGATTAATTGTGAAGCGAAAATGTTTGATTTTTGGTTTTGCCCAAGTTAACGTGTGTATTTCTTTTAAAAGTTTCTTCTTTCCCAAACACCAGTTATTACAGTTTTTAATAATATTTCTTTCCCTAAAACCCAAACCAAATAACCTATAATCATCGTTCTATTTCATCCTCTCTTCCCAAATCAAACCGTCAAACCCCAAAAACCTATCAAAATTAATCTTTATATATTTTCTGACTGCATAACCTTGGTTCCTCCGTCTTTCGGGAACTACCTGCGCATCGCAGATGCACCTTAATAGACACGTAATTCTTTTGTTTCGTTCTAGTCGTCTTTTGTTTTCTTCTGTTGTTTTTTACTCGGCGAGTTTGAAGATTTTTGGAGACATTCCTCCTTTCTTCTGCTGCTCGCTGTTGGCTCGCCTTGAATTATTACTATATAAAAATATTTCTCGGTCGCTGTCACACCTCCCGGTGATTTGTAGGTTATGAGAGTGACGAATGGCGTCGTTAGGTTTGACATTGATGACAGTTTATGGCGCTGGGAGCGCGCGCTTTTTATTAGAAACATTCTGAATTTCCTTTTTTTCGACTCTGTCAACGGATATCTGTGTATTTATGTTAAATATATTAATTATTGATTGTTGTTTGACGTTGATGACAGTTTATGGTTAGGTTTGATTGTTTTTATCTTTGAATAAGAAGACTAAGGAAGGAGCATATCAAAAATCTTAGGTACACCGCGATGGGCCTCAAATATGGCCGACTTAAATTCCGGTTTATCAGTGTCGTTCTAATTTTATTTAAAAAATGTAAAACTATGATGTAGGGTAGACGTGGGGTAGACTCAATAATTTGTTGTTTTAAAGAAAAGAAAAGAAAAGGAAAGAGGAGGAAATGAGGATAGTGGAATGGAAGGATGGAATGGAGGACATGAATGGAAGGAAGGAAGAAGATGGAAATGGATGACGGATGGAAGGAAGGAATGGAGGAAGGAGGAAGGATGGAAAGATGGATGGATATGGAATGGATTGGAATGGAATGGAATGGAGTGGAGTGGAATGGAATGGAATTGAATGGAATGGAATGGAAGGGAATGGAATGGAATGGATGGAGAGGAGTGGAATGGAAGGAATGGAGGAGGAATGGATGGAAGGAAGGGAGGAAGGAAGGAAGGAAGGAGGGAGGAAAGAAATGGAGGGATGGATGGAAGGAATGGAAATGGATGGATGGATGGAAGGAGTGGATGGTGATCTCGCCCTCGTACAAGTCTACAAATTCTATTGTATTGTTCAGTAGCTCTTCTGCTTGTATCGCTATCATCCTCTTGGTGTTCCTCATCTTGATTTTCGGCGTCTTCAATTTCATCTTCATTGGATGCTAGAATATTTATTTTCTTTTGGAGTTTAGCACATTCTTGGAAATGGTTGACTTTAATTCTGGATATTGCATCGGCGTTCTTGTTTATTTTTCCAGGCTTATATTCAATTTTGTAGTTATACTCTTCTAACTTTAATCTCCAGCGAGCTAGCCTACTTCCAGGGTCTTTGATTGAGAAGAGCCATGTTAAAGGTCGGTGGTCGGTAACTAACGTAAATTTTCTTCCAAACAAATATGGTCTGAAATGTTTTACAGCCCATACTATCGCTAAGAGTTCCCTCTCGATGGTAGAATATTTCGTCTCCGCAGGGCAAAGGGTTCGCGATGCGAAAGCTATAGGGAGATCTTTACCTACAGGGCCTTGTGATAATACGGCTCCAATGGCAAAAGCACTTGCGTCCGTGGTGAGTAGAAACGGTTCTTCAAAGTTAGGATAAATGAGTATTGGGTCCGAAATTAGCGTGTTTTTTAATTCTTCGAACGCTAATTTACATTCAGTGTCGAAATTGAATGGTATATCTTTTTTTAACAGTTTAGTCAATGGTTTTGATATCTTCGCAAAATTCGAGATGAATCTGCGGTAGTAGCCTGCTAATCCGAGGAAAGATTTGATTTCCTTGGGATTCTTCGGTTCTGGAAACTTTTGGATGCATTCTATCTTAACTGGATTTGGTTTGACTCCATCTTTCGTTACAATATGTCCGAGATAGGCAACTTCTTTTCTCAAGAATTCGCACTTATCGGGCTGGATCTTAAGATTTGCTTTCCTGAGTCGTTTAAAAACTTCTTTTAAGCGCTGCATATGTTCATGGATGGTCGGAGAATAGATGATAATATCGTCCATATATACCAGGCAACGTTCGTTTTGTATTCCTAGGAGAATGTTGTCCATAACCCTCTGGAATGTGGAGGGGGCATTTTTCAGGCCAAATGGCATACGAACAAATTCGTAGTGGCCATTTTCCACGGAAAAAGCTGTCTTGGGTACGTCTTCTGGCTTGATCTCGATTTGGTGGAAACCTGACGCGAGGTCAAGTGTCGTGAAGTACTGACATCTTCCCAGCTGATCTAGTAAGTCAGAGATATTTGGTAGGGGATATCTGTCATCTACACTGACTTCATTTAGTTTCCTGTAGTCTATGACTACTCTCCATTTCTGCTTTCCAGAAGCATCGATCTTTTTGGGTACTACCCAAACAGGTGATGACCATGGGGATACAGATGGTCGAATTATTCCTTGGTCCAACATTTTTCCAATTTGGTGTTTTACTTCCTCCTTGTGGATTTGGGGATACCTATAGGATTTTGTATAAATAGGTTTTGCGCCCTTTGTGTCTATGGTATGCTTGATTTCATTTGTGAAAGTTAAATTATCACCTTCGAGGTAAAATATGTCAGAGTATTCTAAACAGAGATTGGTTATCATTTCATGCTCTTCTTCGTTGAGATGTTCGGTTCTTAGTTCGTTTTTAATTGTTTGCGTTCGATCGATTATAGGTGGGTTTTGATTATCAAAGGTGTTTAAATTTAGGATTGGGTTAGGGTTATAAGGTTCTATAGAAATGTCTGAAAAATCTATTATTTTAGAAATACCATTAACATTAGCAACAGAAGTAAAAAATTCTCCGCTACTGTTAACATAAACAAGAGCATTTGGTAATCTGACCTTATCTTTTTCCTGTGAGTGTAAAATAGCATCAGTGTTAATTAAATTACATTTTAATTTAACAATTTTCTCGGTACGACCGTCAATGGATATCTTATTACATTGTGTCTTACAGCTGTTATTTATTTTATTAGAATTATTTTTTAAAATACGAGGGGTTTCCCGTAAGTTATCATTTACTTTAAATAAAGGAAGTGTATTGAAATTAGTTATTAATTTTTTTGATTTAAGATCTATAATACACTGATAGTGTTCTAGAAAATCTGCGCCTAAAATACCATCAAATTCTATGTCTAAATTGCAAATAAACACTTTATGTGGATCTTTACATGTAAATGGAATCATGGCTGATTCTGTTATCTGTATTTTTTGATCTGTAATGCCTTGTATAATGAGATTTTCGCCATTTCTGTTCGGATAATTTTTTACTGTGTGGTTTTTAAATATTGAAATACCTGCACCGGTATCTATGAGTAATTTAAATTTATTAGTAGCGTCATTAATATAATATAGATTTTTCGAATTGACAGTATGGAGTGGAGTTAAGGATAATTGTGTTCTAGGATAATATCTAGGTTGGGATTTTTCTGGTTTAAGTTGAGGGTTTGAATTTCTGTTGGTGGGTCGGTTTGGTGAGGCAGTGTTAGAAAATTTTCGTAATTTTCGGTTTCTTCGAAATAGTCTTCTTCTTGAGGAATATAATCTGTATTTTCATCATAATAGTAATCGTCATAATATATAGGTTGATCATAGTATTCCTGGTCGTAGTTTACATGATGATTTCTTGGTTGATTAGGGTTCTTCTGGATAACAGATGAACGGAAGGGTTGATTTTGATTTACGACAGGTCTTTGTTGGTTTTGAAAATAATTGGGTCTAGGTTGATATGAAGTAGAAGGTTGATTATGAGCTGAAGGTTGAGCTTGAGAAGGGTTAGAATTATTTTGAGGGTAAGAAGCTTGGGGTGTTTGTCTGAAACGACATTGGCTAGACAAGTGTCCAAGTCGGCCACAAAAGTTACATTTAATGCTTGTAGGTATAGGATTCCTACTAGGTTGGGGTTGTTTATGGATTGTTGATCTGATAGGGTTATTCTTATTGGATTCAAAATAGGATAGTTGGAGTTCACGTTTAATTCTACTTTGTGCTTGTAATATATCTCGAGGATTTCCTGAACGAATAATCTGTCCTAAACGGGGTTCTAAACCAGTCAATAGGGTATTTAGGGACATGGTATCGATTAAACTACATTGAGCTAACTTTTGTTCGTTACTTAATTCTAAGGATTTATTAATATTAGCGATCATTTTTGCGTTAAGTGTTTGCAATCTACTAACAAAATTTAGCGGTGATTCATTAGGTAATTGTTTCATTCTTTGGAGATCTTGTATTAAAGATGACAAATCTCTAGAGTCGCCAAAATGCAAGTTTAATAAAGATTTAATCTCGTTGTAACTTAAAGGATTTCTAGAGTTTATTAATTGAGCGGCTTTTCCTCGTAACTTATTTTTTATATGAATCGATAATAAAACCTTTTGTTCAATATTTGCCATACTGTTAGCACAATCACAAGCATAAAGAAAAGTGTTTAAAAAGATTTGATCCCCATCAAATTCGGGAATAATTGAAAATATTTCAGATAATTTATAAACTTCAGCGTCTTCATCTCTTTTGCTTTCCGCAGCTTGACTACGTGTTTCAGGCATTTTTATTTAGCTTAATAGACAGAATAAATTTATTTAAATAGTATTTATTTTTAGAAAATAAAGTAATTATGTAAGGTAGTTTATTCACCTTACGGAGAATTCACACTAGTACGGAAGATTTCTATTTAGAAATTTAGAGTTTTATTTTTGTTTTATTTGAAACAAATAGTTTTAATTAATTTTTTGATTAAAAAAAATATTTTATACTAATACTTTTGTTTAGATAAAATTAAATATTTTTATATAGATTTTTTTTTTTGTAGTTGCTTATTTTCAAAAGATGTTGAGTGAAGAGTAGTAATTTTTTATAATAATAAATAAAATATTTAATATTCCTTTTATAATAGAATATCGAACAATATGGTTCCAACACAAATAAAATAATACGTGATAATTCAATATTACTTACGTTTGTAGAAACATCGGTCTCGTCTGGTTCTATCAATCAGGATGCTGCCAGGGGCGTCACTAGGTGTTCCTTCCACAGCTGACGATAGTGAGGACTCTTCGAGTTTCTTTCTTGTTTCTTTCTTCAATTTCTTCAGTTTCTTCCCTGAACTTTTTCGTCTCGGTTTCTATCGATCTGGTAACTGCCAGGGGTGTCACTAGGTGTTCCTTCCACAGTGTCGATAGTCAGGACTTAGGTTCTTTTTCTTCTTAAGGGATTAGAATCCGCCGTCAACAGTTGGTTTTTCCGCAGAAACGTGTTCTGTCGACGTTTCAGATCCTACACTCGACTGCGCCAATTGTTAGATCACAAATAATGCGATTCACTTTTTAAAAAAAACATTTATTTGCTTTAAAACATTTATAATATTTTATTTTATTTTATTTATTAATTTTATTATAATTTAACTAAAAAATTCAAACGGACATAGTCTCGTTCGGCAACTAAACTACTCTCTTTTGATTAACAAAAATAATTAGGTTTTATAATGAAAATATTGATTACATTAACAATAATCGTGAGAACAATTGAATATTATTATGATACGTTCGCGATTTCGCAACGCGCGCCGGACGTGTCGCAATAGGATGTGGCCTGCCGGGTGAACGTACTGGGTGGACCAATATAACAGCTCCCCCTTTAAGAGAAAAGTTAATGCTCTGTATTAACTTTTTAGAGGTCTTCATGTAGCTCGAACTCTTCTTCGGGATTCTGGATATCGTGTGGGTGAATAGCGGTTCTTTTTCTAGGCAAGAAACTGACCAATCTT